TTTGAAGCGTTAGAAACTAGACTCAAAGACCTTTAATTTGATAGGTTGTAATCCACATAACTCTTTATATATATCTATATATGATCGTCTAAAGTTAGGTCTTATGCGTACTCATTTGGAACTTTAGTCTATCATGTAATTTCCATCTTGATTTGCCCCAAGGGCTCTCCTTATGACCTATAATTTCAAATACACCTCGTACACTTATTATCATATTCAATTAATATCTATCATATTAATAGTTCTCGTCTGCACACAAAATAATGTAATTAGCACACTTCAACTTTCTAATAGCGCTTAAGCACTTCGAAATTTTCCGGGGTGCTACAGGAAGAGAATGAGGAAGATAGATCTAAAAGGTGAAAGGTGAAAGGTGAAAGGTGACGAAGAGAGAGATATATAACTAAATTCAACTTTATTGTCCTCCGTAAATCTAGAATGGTCAATAATTGAAGTAAACTAAACCAACAATGGGCTATAAAGAATAAAGATGCAAACTATCAGAAAGTGTATTTCTGCAGAACCTAAGCCGATGGTCTATCAGAAACAACCTCTCTATCTCTATAAGGTAGGGGTAAGGTCTGCGTACACACTACCCTCCTCAGACCCCATTTATGGGATTACACTGGGTTTATTGTTGTATATCTGCAGAACCGATACTCACAATGTCAAATCAAAAGAAGATTTAAAGCTTACCAGATGAATGAATCACCAAGTATAGCTCTTATTAGTAATGTCTAAGCCAATGTAAGCAGAAAGCATAACTTGATGTTGAATATTTTTTTTTCAAAAAACTTTAAGGATTCACAATAGCAGCTTAGAGAATGGATGGAAATTATGAAGAGATAAGGAACAAGAAGAGCAAAAGATTCAGATGCGAGCTCAACCATTGAATTTGAGAAACTCTGAGAGCAATTTTGACTTAAAAGAGGGAAGAAAATCAGCACGGGAATGGGGGTTGATAGAGGGGAATATGTTTTTCTATTTCTATGTTGATATATTTTACTCCTTCCGTTTTAATTTACGTGAACCTCTTTGACTGAGCACGAAGTTTAAGAAAGAAATGAAATTTTTTAAAATTTGTGGTCCTAAACAAATCATAATATTTGTGTGGCTATAATTATTTTAAAACCAGCGGCGGACCCAGGATTTTGCACAAGTGGGTTCAATTCAATGTTGTGAAGAGCGTGAAGTGAGGAAAAGCGACAACCCCCATTTCGCTTAAAGCGAGAAGCGAAGCGTTCGCTTTTTTGAAGTGAAGCGGAATTTAAAAAAAATAAATAAATAAATACTGGGCAGTAATTAAATTAAAATAAAATAAGAATAAGAATAAAGGATATAAAAATTAGAGGAAGGGCAGTAATTCTCTGTTAAAAACTGGGCAGAGAAAGAAGAACCCAAGGATTGACATCAATTCTGAGAAAGAACCGAAGATAAAAAAAAGTTCGCCAGCATTTCGCTGCTATTTGGACGTTTAAACGGTGAAAGAAGAAGAAGAAGACGACGACTTGTTGTTGTTGAAGACTTGAACTTGAAGAAGAAGAAGAACCCTAGTCGATGCTATCAGATGCTCTGCTTTAAAACCCTAGTCGCTGCTGTTGCTGTTCATTTACTGAAAGATACAACTGATTTCGTTTTTAATAGAATAGGGTTGGGTCTGTTTTAAAACACATAAGCGGCTGCTTCCTTCGCATCGCATCGCTTGATCGCTTCTCGATTTTTAGTGGGAAGCGGTCGCTTTTTTATACCTGAGTCGCTTCACCCATATGAAGCGTGCACCTTCTCGCTTCGCATCGCTTCTCGCTTAAAGCGAGGAAGCGGGCGCTTTTTTAAACACTGGTTCAATTTAAGATGACGCACATCGATATTATATGCGGTATCGAACATGGCAAACCGAATTTGGTCATGCTTTGTTAATTCTTTTCTTCTTTTTTTGTCTCTTTTCTTTATAATGTTTAAATTAAGTCATTTGAAAGTGAGTGCACGCTATATTTTACAAATTTTGGCCTTTTAAAAGTACAAAAACTATTTGCTCCTAAGTTTTTGAGCAATTTATCTTTTTTCACCAAACACTCTTATCTATTTAATTTAACAAATTTTTACTTTTTCAAAAGGCAAAATGACCTCCGGGCCACTTAAACTTATACCCATTTGTCAGCCCGGTAGATAAACTTATAAGTTTCCCATTTGAACACTTGTACTTAACGGAATGAGTACTAATAAACACCTTTGACCATTGACCATGCTTATGAGGCAACGACTTAAATGATGTGGCTCAAATACGTGCAAACCACGATACAAACACGCGTGAATATAACAATTTTCATTAAAAAATATTAAAATCAGAAAAGAAAGCAAATTAAAAGGAAAAAAAAAAAGAAAAAATTGAAAAAGGTGAAAACTCTCACCCACCCCACGCCCTCCCTTCTCCTCTTTCTTCCTCTTTCACTCTTTCATTTTGTTGTTATCCGATTCCCTTCATCCGATTCCCTTCCCCTCTTCCTTTCTTTTCTCGCCTCTCCTCCTACTTCCCCCTCAACCACCTTCTAACAAACCTGACATGAAAATGCTGGTTAGAACAAAATAAAGAACAAAATTTCAATTTTGAAAAAATCAATTAATTGGGTGTTGAAGATTGAAAATTTTAGAGATGATTTTGAATTTATGTATCAGTGAACTCCCACTTGAGATTGTTGGCAATTTTTTTTCTTCCTTTTACTAATTTGTATGGGGATTTTCAAAGATAGTTTTGGAGAAGATAATGGAAGAGAGTTCTTTTTATTGATTCGTTTGGATTTTACTGATTTTATCTGTGCTCTTTTTACTTTTTTATTCACTTGGGAGTTTTAGTAGAGAAAAATGGCGTTCATTATTGATTTGGGGGATTTTAGAGTGGATGGAGGTGGTGTTCATTCATGGTGGAAGAAACATGTAGTTGTAGTGATGGTGCTGCCATGGTGAAGAAGAAGAAGAGAAAGGAAAAGGTTTTAATTTTTTTAATAAATTGGTAAAAAGAGATTGGGACCTACAAATTACATATGTCAAACAATAATAGGTTAAGAATATGATGTGCCAGTTGGGTCATAGCGATTGAGGAACGCGCTGGATGTGTTTATTGATATTCTTCCGTCAAGTACAAGTGTCTACCGGGCTGACAAGTGGGTACAAGTTTAAGTGGCCCGGAGGCCATTTTGCCTTTTCAAAATCTTGTTAAACTTTAACAAGAAAATCATTTAACCAATTAAAAAATTTATTAACTCCAAAAAATTTGACAGATAACTGAATATTAAATTCTTTTGTGTTTATAACTAAGAAGGTATTATTTACAAATAGTGGACAATAAAAAAGAGTTGCAATCTAAACTAAATTAATACCAATAATTAAAGAAAGACGGCCAATACATTAAACCAATTTTTCTAATATAAAACAAATAAAAAATTCAAAATAAACTTACAAATTATAAATAATTTCATCAAATATAATTGCATGATTTAGCAAAATTTATGAAATAGAGAATTAAAAATCACTTTGTAGAAAGGTTTAATTTTTTAAAGTAAAACAAAGTCGATTTCTATTGAATTAAGTTAAAAATATGAAGTAAAATAGAGAATAAGACAACAGAAATAATTGGATTAATAATTTTACAAGGTAAGTTGTGGTTGCTGGTTAGATTGGCCTGGCAAAGCTATGGTAGCTCACTAGGCCTACCCATTTGCACATTCTCTGTCTTAATACAAGCAGAAAAGGAAAAATTATAAAATGAATGCAAGGGTGAACGCGACTCAAATACGCGACTCGCTGAAGCTTTGAACCCACATGAACATGTTTACAGACGTAATGTTTGCATCAAGTGGGTTCAAATATAACACTATATACGTATTTTCCCTATTTTAAACATAAATTACTGAGGAACACAGTACTGTTATTTTGATAAAGCAGGTTCAAGTGAACCCGCTTAGTAACACGTGGGTCCGCCCTTGTTGAAATTTGTGGTGCTAAACAAGTCAGAGTATTTGTATGGCTATAAAATCTTCTCATTAAGGGTAGAATTGGAAATTTAAGTTAAATTATTTCTAAATTTAGAAAGGGGGCATTCTTTTTGGAACGGATAAAAAAGGAAATAGGTTCACATAAATTGGAACGTTGCTTTGGACCAATTCATAAATTTTAGAATTTTGGAGCTGGTTTCTAACATTACATAATGTTGATCAGATTAATTATCAGTAATCTTAAAAATAATCTTAAAGGTCTGCGTACACACTACCCTCCCCAGACCCCACTAAGTGGGATTATGCTGGGTTGTTGTTGTTGTTAAAAATAATCTTAAAAAGGCTTTATATATTGAAGAATTAAAACCTGGGTCTAAATCCTCAATTGGGTCTTGGTCAAGGCCTTTTAATTAGAGCTCCCATGTCTGTTTTTTTATAAGCACTCTCATATGGATGGATCCAGCCCTTGTTGTCTATTGGATGGCATTGTAATTACCGGAGATGGCCAGGAAGAGAGTGAGGTACTAGAATGAAGTCTTTAATCATTTCTCGACTAAAGAAGCGAGATGACTCAAATTACTAGATCCTTGTGACAGCCATCAGGATGCAGTGGTCCGAATCTTTTGATATATAAAAAATATTTGGAGTTGAGAACTTCTATACCAAAAGCGAGAAAATACTGAAGTACAAACTTATCTGGTTACATAATGAAATAGACTAGATGTGATAGTTGGTCGACATCTGGATCACGTATATTGGGTAAAACATTATTCTTGAAGAAGTACAAAGGAAAATATAATTGCCAGATCAAGAGCAAAATTTGAAATGTAGCCATGCCTTTGGCTACAACCAAGCTTATGTGGTTGAAATAGTTGTTTGAGTTAAAAATTCAGAAGGTTAGTATGGATGAAACTGATTTGACAATCAAGTTGCGGTAAATATTCCATCTGAGTCTGTATTTTAGAGGACCAAATATTTTGAGATCAATGGTCACTTAATTTATGAATGCAGCCATCGATTGGTGAAACTAATGCACTCCGAAGTCCAAGAATATATGTACAGCAAGCTTGGAGCCGAATGATCATGTGGTTCAACTTGTGTGAGTGTGTTACAATGTGTACAATTGTACTTGAGTAGTAGAATATTGTGCAGTATATTCATAGTTTATTGTGTAGTATATTTCTTAGGATTCTCAGTAGTGAGGAAGCTCACATTATTTCTCCGATTAAAAAAAAAAGACTCTGGAGCACTTTGTTGTAATATAAATAGTAGGGTTTCTCGCTTTTCCTCTTGTTTCACAAATATAAAATATAGAATTATGTCAAACTGCTCAGTGACGCAGTTGCTTTTCCAAAACCAGGGATATCATTAGGTTCTAACATTAACTGCTGCATGTGATTTGTGATAATTTAGGAGGGAGATGATGCTGATAAGGATCCAGCAGCAAACAAGGGCCACAAATTAGCAACTGTAGCCAAATTTCTGAATGGTGCTTTGCCTAGCCAGGTACTACTGGTCTGCTTTTGAGGTTCCTTGGGTTAATCATGATCCGTATAATGGTAGTCTTGCAGTCTACAAAATACTAAACTTCAAGCAAATTTAAAGCATCTCCAAAATTTTGGGAGCCTACTGCTTTAGTGTTTTTACATTTGTTTTTCTGATTGTATACTCTATACATTTTTTCTTCTTCTCCTTTTACTTTTTCCTGAAACTTTCTGTTGGTGGGTAGATTATACTATTCAAAACTTGTGAACCTTGTAGAGAACTTTGGAAAGGATCAAGGTTGGTCTATTTTGTTTTATACGTTGATAAGCAAGTCTGGTTTATTGTATGTAAAGTCATATCGCGTTATGAACTTTTAGAATTGTTTAGCAGGCAAATTAATGTGTTCCCTGGTATCTGTGAATACAGTTAGTTCCAAGTTCCAGGTGCATTTACTGAAATTCGGAGCTCTGGTCCGAAATTCCAATTCTGTGAATTATGAATTTAGTGCAAAGATGGGACACAATTATAGATATAAAAAAAGAATAAAAAAAGTGATTCAAAAATGACTCTTGCTTGATCACGAGATATTCCCAATGAAAAATTAAATGTCCTTCACAGTGATAGTTTAGCATTGACTTTCAATTAATGAACCAATCAACTAATCTCAATCCCAAACTAGTTGGTTCAGTTCTTTGAATCATTTACATCCATTCTGCTACTTAGACCTACTTCATTTAGTCTTCAAAGACAGATTAGTTGTCGTCTAAAATGAATTTCTCAAAATCTCATGCTTATCTGTCATACAAGTCCTTAATCAATCTTAAAAGACTAGTTGTTAGCACGGGAACATAATAAGAGAGTAAATAAGTTTAATCCCCGCCTAGTTGGTATCGCTTGTATGGATTCTTTTGCGTCTATTCTGTTCTGTTCTTAACTATGTCTGCACTCCAATTGGTTGTAGAGTTTTTCAGATAACTTGTCTCCATGTGATTTTAGTCTCCCTTGTCAACTTTGCACTGTCAATTATTGTACTTTTGCATATTGTATAGTGTTTACAACCTCACATTTATCTTACCATCCACATATCTTACAACATTATCTTGTGGACGTGTTTGCCCACAGAGGTCCAAACATTAACTCCCCTATAATGATACTCGATCTTGAATCCTTTACTTTTATAAGTGACCCCTTCTCGATTAGTATGTAATCTAAATCGATGTACCAACTAAAGGCATATCCTTTCAACACGACCTGATATTTTTTTTTTTTGCTGTCAACGTGCGTAACCAGTTTCTTTAAGCTCCTTGTGACAACAATTAGAATGCCGTAAGTCACATCCAAAGGTATATCAAGGGCTCTTCAGTTTAAGGTCTGCTATACGAGGATAGAAGAAATACACATGTTATTTAAACTTGACATATCTAAAATATTACTTATCAAAAATGAAAAGAAAAAGATATTGCTTGTAAGATTACTTGCATTATTGTGTTACTAGTATTTCAATAAAATTCTTGCTGATTTAGTGCATTTCACTGTTTAAGGTGGGTCGAACTCAATCTGACAATGGTAGAGTGGCATCAGTAGGTAAGCTCCTTGAAACTTATTAACCTGTATGGCCTCTTGATCTTCTTCCCATACCTGATCTCCCCTTGTTTTCATTTATTCCTCTAATTTTGATGCTGATAATGCAAGATGAATAGAGGGGAGCAAAACATTGAAAAGAAGCTGGTTAGATTTTTCTTTTGGTTCGGGGGTTGGGCCGCGGGGATGGGGCTTGAAGCTTCAACGTGGAGAAGTAAGTTAATCCGGATATCTTAATCAATTGTTATTCATGTTGAAGCACAGCTTAAGGTTACATTAATAGAATATATTAATTGGCTTAGCACTAGCTGAAACGGTCTCTGTGTGTAATCCTCTTGGCTCCCAAAGAACTCAATCTCTGAATTGGATCATTGGAATTATCATTTTTTTTTTTTTGTTATCGTTTGCAATTCTCCTGGTTGAATGAATCATTATCAATTTTCTGAGAGTATTTCGAGACAGTCTATTATGTTCTTTATATTAGAGTAAATTAGTACCGAAGGTTTTCAACTGTTGGAACAGTTGCTATGTTGTAGCTCTTTGGCGATTGTGCTTGCATATATACTCAATATAATTAAGAAAGCCAATCATACAACAGGCGTGGTTTCATTCCATCCCCTTTCCATTCAAGAGTATCGTCTATCTTTGATATTGTTCACTTCTATATATTGGTCCAAGTCGTGTTGTTTCAAGTTTGGGGTTTCATTATATTGTCTGCTTTATTGATTGCTATTCCCGCTGTAATGGTGTTCTTAATGAAGATCGTTCATAATTATTTTCTCTCTTTCGGAAATAGTACTGAGATTCACAATCAATATGGTGTTAGTAAAGGTATTATGCAGTGACAATACCAAGTACTTATCCACTCCCTTTGCCAGTCTTATGTTCTCTCAAGCAATCACTCATAGACTTCTTATGCATATACTCCTCAACAAAATGGAGTCTCCGAATGTAAAAATGGACATTGACACTACGCATACTTTACTTATACACCATCATATTCCTATTCTTTTTGGGCAGAATGCCATTCTTACTGCTTGTTATCTAATTAATAGAATGCTCTTTGCTGTATTGGATCCTCAAAGTCCATATTCCATTCTGTTTCCTGTTCAAAATCCACATCATCTACCACTGAGATGTTTGGATGTACTTATTTTGTTGATGATCACAGTCCTAGAAAAGACAAACTTCACCTTGAGATTCGATTAAGTGTGTCTTCCTAGAATACTCTTGTCTTCAGAAAGGTTTCAGATGCTATGATCAAACGATAAAGAGATTATATTAATAGACATAACCTTAGTTAATATGTCTCCCTGCTTTTCACCATTCACCAATCAGTGCGAACAAAAATCTAATCCTCAGGGTTTACCAGTTCCTTTTCTTCCAATACCACAAGTCAATCTTTTTCTTCTTTGAGTCTAACTTCCGATGTACTCATCCTCCTGTTAACACCAATGATAACTCTTCTCATGACACAGATACACACACAATTTGAGTTATCATCTCCCTATCATATTATACATTTGTGTATACCTTATCTATTGTTCCTATACCAAAAACTATTAGCAAAGCATTGGAATGTCAAAGGTGGAGAGATGTCATGATAGAGACTGCTTTTTACATTAATAACACTTGGAATTGGTTTAGTTACCGAATGGTTAAGTTTATGTTGGGTGTCGCTGCGTAAAGCGAGTCCTGCTAGCAAAATTGATTGGAAGAAGGCTCGCCTTGTTGTGAACAGGTGCACTTAGATTTATGATATTACAGTCGCACATTCTACTTATCTCCTTAGCAGCAATCTTTTGTTGGACGCTTCATTAGCCGGATATTGAGAATAAATGCACTGAGAGTTAGCCTACGAGGTATATGTGGAGCAACCACCAAGGTTTGTTGCTCAGAGAGAGTTGGGCTCGATATATCATCTAATACCATCACTTTAGGTCTACAACAATTTCCAAGACATTCCATTTTTGAGTTAGCAGAATTTAAGATAGGCATTGTTATCTCACTAAAAAGGTACACTTTGGATAGGGGGAGCCATGGGAAGATTGACCAATATCAAGGACTGGTTGGCAAAGTGAATTATCCCACCATCATACAATCAAATAATTCATTTGTAGTAAGTGTGGCATATAAGTTCCTCAAATTTCATCGTAGTGGTCATTGAGCCGTAGTAGTCCACATCCTTTAGATACATGAGAAGAGCTCCAGGACAAATAGTGTTATACGAAGAGAAGCTTCGGTCAGACATTGTTGGATATTGATGCTGATTGGGCAGGTTCTCAGTGAGATAGACGTTCTACTTCTAGATATTGTGTTATGATGGGTAGGAACCTAATCTCTTGGAAAAAGCAAAAACGAGATGTTATAGAACTAAAATATCGAGTTATGGCCTTTGCAACTTCTCCAAGAGTTAAGGCGTGTTAAAATCAAATAGATGAAAATGATATGTGACATTGAAGCTCCCCTTCACATTCCCTCAAATTCAATCTTCCATGAAATGACAAAGTATAAAGAGGTGGATTTTCATTTCTTAAGTAGAAGATTAAGTCTTGATGCGTTGATACTGATAAAGAAATGGACCTTGGGTTAACTCAACCAACCCTAGAAGCTAGCTCATGAGGTGAGGATTACCCAAGACGATATAAAGAGACCATACGACCCCTAAAGCACTGTTGTGGGACTCAACAACCCTCTCCCCGCGCACACCCAAAAGTGGACATCTGGAGTGTGGACAATATAAGATGCGAGCCAAACATCGGACAAACAATAAATTGAGATGGGTCTGACTCTGATACCATGATAAACAAGTGGACCTTGGGCCTCACTCAAACACAAGCTAGCAAATGAGGTGATTAACCAAGACCATATAAAGACACCATCCCATCCCTAAAGCACCGATGTGGGACTCAACAGGTAGCAACTTCGTCGGATCCAACGGCCGCAAATGCTCTTATCAAATCTCTCCAAGGACCTTTGTTTGGACACTTTTGCAACAAGCTTGAAGCCTATGACACGTACACTCCAACTTGAGGTGTTGATTGTGGTAACTAATACAAAAGATATGCTAATGATTTATATTGATTTTGTTAAATATGGCAAGAATATGTACTATGTAAATATAGAAATAGTCCCATATCCCATTCCCCGTAATTAAGTAATTAGGAGATTTTGTAGGAATCCAATTATTCTCTATTATTTCTTTCCTTATTTGTAATCCTTGTAAAGGTCATTTAACCCTGAATAGCCTGAGGGAATAATCAATCATCATATTCCCCATCTCTTCTTTCTTAGTTAATACTGTAATCAGCCAGACTAGATTGTGATTCTCTAGAATCTATAACTTCCAAATTGTAAACCACATAAATAGTACATAAAATTCCAACCAAGGTTGAGGGAATAGTCTAGCTTTGGAGTTGAATTTTCTCTCATTCCTCTTATTTTGACCTTGCATCTAATCGAAGATAAAAGAGAAGTAGGATCTCTCCTGAGACACTCTGAGGATACACAACTATGTGTCCAGACAAAAAATCAAATTTTCTCACATTCAATGTCATGGGATGAACCATGTCCAACTGATGTTGTATTGTATTGGATAAAGTGCAAGATATGGTGTACCTTTAGAATTATTTATGCTATATAGGCAACTGCTGTTTGATGGTCCAAATGATTTGCTAGATTCTTTTTTTTTTTTTTTTGGTAAATAAAACTTTTATTACCAAGTAGAGAAATGTACAGATCAGTTGCCAAAGAAGGGGGAAAAAAAAGAAGCAAAACTGGCAGTCTGGTTAGTTGGACACAAGTCCCAATTCCTAGCAAAACTACTCATCCTCTATCATCATATACTTCTACTGCTAAGGATAAAAATCTAAAGTATTTAATTTTTTTCCAAGTTTGCTCTTCCCGCAGCCTCTACAGAACATCTTGTACCATGCTTCTAAGTATGACGTCCAGAGATCTCTGCTTGTGCTGGAAGATACACAAGTTTCTCTCTTGCCAAATATAGTAGACACAACCAGTCGATGACATTCTAAAGATATCAGCCGATGGGTTGTTACTTCTCATCTCCCTGCTTGCCCAGTCTATTTCATCCTGCCATATCATCACAGCTCTATGTATCCCTTGCCATTGTAGTAATCTGTACCATAGCTCCTTTAGGAATTCACATTCAAAAAACAGATGATTAAGACATTCTTGTTCTTTGTAGCAGAGTATACAAGTTTGGTCCACAATGATTCCCCATTTTGTCAATCTATCCTTTGTGCTTAGTCTTCTCTGTATTGCCAGGTTCAAAATAAACAACCATCTAGGAGTAGAACGGTTGTTACACATGAGCTTTTTCCAGGGTACTTTTACAAACTCACCTCTCATCTTCTGGTACATCTTTTTGGTAGAGGTCTTCAGTTGAGACATTTCAGTCATTCTCATTCCAGTTTCCTGTAAGTATTTTTTAGCTTTAAGAATCTTAGTCAGAATCCAAGAAGCTTGTTGTGGCTCCACTTCCCATAGTAAATGTGAACCCACCTCACCCATAACTTGTCTTTTTTGTACATAGATTCCATAAAAGCTTGCAGACTGCAGCTTTATTCCATGTCTCAATGTGTAATACATTGAAACCACCGGCTGTTCTAGGCCAAGATACTCTATCCCAGGCTAATGGGGCTTTCCTTCTCATCTCCACACCACCACCCCATAAGAAGTTCGTACGAGTTGGGAGTACAAAAATTTGAGACCAGTAGACTTGGATGGAGAATAAGACAGTTTTGATTAGCTGCAACCTCCCCGAGTAAGAAAGAAACTTGGAGGTCCTGGATATTATTCTCCCCGACATCTTGTCCACGAGGGGATAGTATTGCATCACAGGAAGTCTTTTAGAGTTTAAAGGCACCCCAAGGTACCTGATAGGTAGTTCCCCCTTTGTAAACCCCAAAATATTCAAAATATCACCTTGTACCACATTGTCAACGCTCCCAAAGAAAATAGCGCTCTTGTCAACATTAGCACTAGTCCAGAACAATTGGAGAAGTTTGAGAAGCAATTAAAGAGCAGTTGAATAGATATCAAGTCTCCTCTACAAAACAACAAAAGATCATCTGCAAAACCTAATTGAATTAGTTGCAATTTGCTAGATTCTTTTACATATAAAATGAAAATAGAGACAATTGGACGCTTTTTCACCACTTTCTTTGTAATAGTAACATGTGAAACTGCTACAAAATGCATTTTAGGTACGTCAACCACAAGGACGTGGGGGGTTTCCTCCCTATTTGGAAGCCGAGGATCATCAGTAGGGAATTCATCTAAGAGACATGCTGCTGAAGTGGTGCATGATATTGACCAGGCACCCCCTGCTATACAATTGAAAAATGTAAGTGCATACTAATCAAGTACATATCATAAAAGAGAGAAAGGACAGACATGGTGATGAAATATCTTATCTTTGTGATTCGCCATCTTACTTTCTCTTTTTAGCCACCATCAATCTTGAGGCCTGGAGAAACTGAAACAGAGTACCAAGTGGAGATTGTAGTGACGAAAATACTCATAACATCTTACTATGATATTGTGAGGAGGAATATACAGGATTTGGTTCCAAAAGCTATTATGCATTATCTGGTAACTTTTCCCCCTCTGTTTTAATGCTTTGGTCATATATTATGTAGCCAATATTAAGTATATATGTGCATGTTTTTTGTTGCGCTGTGTGTATAGCACTCTGCAAGCATTTGCCCTTTTGTTATCATTCACTACTGATTTTCTCCAGGTCAATCATGCTAAGAGGCATCTTCTTGGCACGTTCATAGAGAAATTGTACCGGTATGCTCATTGGGACAAGTGTTTCTCTTTCATGTTATTTGATTTTGGGATCTTATAAATCCCACAAAGATGGATTTGACATCCTTGTTAGACTTGTAACCTGTATGCTGCAGAATCTGAAAACATTGTCTTACCTGAATTAGGAGTACCTCCTCATAAGCAGACAACTCATTCTCAGCTTGTGCTTGTTTCTAATCCGATGGGTGGAGTTCCTATCACCTGAGTCGATTCTGCTTCTGGTTATTGTCTTAGGTTTCCGGCTTATTGTTTTGTTTGATTAATCAGTCCGAACAATCTTTCTTTTTTGGCGTTTCTTGTTAAGATTTTTGCATTTTTAGATTCCAACTATCATGATATTTGTATCTTTTAGAAAGAGTACTTGGTAGAATTGCAACATAATATGGAGAGCCGAACCAGTAATTTCATGAGCTGGAATTGCCAAACCTGGCTCAACCTTCACAAACGTTGTCTTGTTTGTATGTGGGGCTGTAGATCAACTCATAGTTATGACTTGTCCCTCTCCTTTTTTTTGGGTTGGGGCGTTTCTCTTAAGTGAATTATGGAGGGAAGTCTGTAAGCCATGGATCATGTAGAATTACCTTGTTTATGTGCTTACTTCGAGTTATGACCACTTCTGATCATTTCTCTGCCTCTCCTTGAGTCACCCACAGAGAGAACCTTTTTGAAGATTTGCTGCAAGAGCAGGACGAAGTTGTCACTAAGAGGAGGAGGACTGTAGAGATGTGTCATGCTCTGCAACAAGCTGTCGAGGTTAGTTATTTTGATAGTTACAAGACTAATCTTGCTGCTGTCTTAACTAGAAATCAGGGATCTTTGGGACCATAGGAATTGCAACAGCGACTTGTTTACCTTGAGAAAGACGTACAAACAGTGTGTTAAGATTGTTTTTTATGTGGTTTGTGTATATGTATGGTGCCAAGAAAATGCAGATTTTGGTGCAGGCCTACTGAGACCATGTTCCCAAGATCCTATTTCCATTCTGATTTCAGAATTCTACTCATGATATCAGTATTATATTAAATGTGTTCTGCCTGAAACTTCCTCTTATGTCTTGTTTCCAAGTATATTTGCTAAAGTACAAATAAAATCGTATTTGCTAAAGTACAAATAGAATCGTAAATCTGAAACTTTCATTTGCTTGTTTTTTTTGTTTAGACACTCGATGAGTTTGTTGCTGATATTTCTACACAAAGGTCAAGTGATAGTATGAATGCATCGCCAAAATCTTCTTACCTTTCGTCAGACTTTTACTCGAATTCAAGATCTTAACATCTAGGTAATCTGAATCTTGTATAATACTCCAAGAGTTAATGTGTCATTGCCTCCATCTGTAGCCACTGCTTGTTCATTCGAGGACTTCAGTACCAAGCGAGAGTCCACATTTTTGCTGACATGTCACCTGATGGAACTATTGAAGCATCTATTAGATAGATAAACTTGTATAGTAGATCTGTTGTGAGTTGCTTGTAGAGTAGTATCTGTTATGGAGACATTGTCGTTTTGCTCCAACGATTACAATCACAGTGTTTTCTTCTGATTTCTGCTCTTTGCTAGGTAGGTGGGTTATATACTTATATATGTAGCTTCCAAAGTTTACTGTTTCTTCCATCTTTTTCCTCTCATCAAGCTTGGCTAATCATAATTTTTATTGGGATGCTGTTTGTTGAAGTTCTATTTGAGAGATGTTAATGTTCACCTTATGGGTTTAGACTTTTAGGTTATTGAATGATATGTAATCCTTCTATCAGAAATTAAACGTCAGTATGTTTCGTTGGTTATATCCCTAAATAATTTTACTGATTACATTATATTATGTTAGTAATAGATTCTGTAATAAACTGCAGCTTGATTAATGGTCTAATTAATCACTCCAGACCTAAATTATCTGTCCTACTTTTTATTCTGTGATGTCCTATAATTTTGTTAACTTTTTCTAGATGAAAGCTCTTTAAACCTACTTTTTTTCTATTTGTCAAAATAATATTTTGGGATCTATTTTTATTTTAAAAAGTATTATTCTTTGAAAGGATAGGTTTATCTCTATATTTTAGATCAACTTTTATGTAAATATGAAACATCTTATCCTATCTGTCCAAATGAAAATGCAGTTCTGTGATAGCTGGAAAAGATTCTTTCCATATATATCCAACTTTATTCTCTTATGCATTTACTATTTTAATTTTGTTTGAAGAGAGAATTACTAATGTAATAATCAGACTATGATTGTCATATCAAAACCAAATCATCACATTGACGTAACAAAAATTCCAAAAATAACTGTGACAAAAGCCTCACCGGATTTCTAAATTGACAAAAATATTGGCGTTTGTTTTAAAAGTTTTTAGCAATTCGGTAATTTTTGGGTGTCTTAAAGATTTGAAAATCTGAGTTTTGAGACCCTTTTTTATATTATTATTATTTTTAACCCCTCCCTAGTTATTTTATTATGCAAAAATAACTGAAATACACTTATTGAAAAGACTTCAAAATTGAGTCCGCAAATTCAACTTTTGACACTTCAAAACAAACGCTAACTTATATCCTTACAGCTATAATTGCAAGAGAAGAAAAGGTCACGCTCAAATTGCTAGACAAACAAGCTATAATGAAAGCAAAATTTGCACAAGCAAAAGCAAATATTTACTCCAAAGTGTAGATGAAAGAAAGATGATAAAACTTCTACGCAAAAATGAGTTTGAAGTTAAGTTACTTGTCAAATTAATTCAGTGAAAAATTAATCTACTAGAATTGAATAGAGAAATTTTCATAAAGTACTATGTTTTAATGGTAATTAGCTATCTATAGATACCATTTGCTATATTACGAATTGTAGATACGTTTTCTGTTGTTATAAGATGTATTAGATATATTTAAGACACTGTATTCATGAATATAGTAGCAAAAATAGGCGTGAATCAGGGAAGTCCAACTAATCAGTTGCTGTATTCGAGTGTATTCGACTGTATTCATGGCGTGAAACATGGGATTATAGCTGGACAACTTATTGTATTCGACTGTATTCACGGTGTAAAACAGGGGATTACACTGTTTTTAAACGGAAAATGAATCAATTAACATAATAAATTTCTAATATAACTCAACAAACTCAATTATAACACACAAATTTTGTATTTTCAGTTATAAAAAAAAAGATTCTAAATCGAAAAATACTCCAAAAACATAGCAATCTTCAGAAAAATTATATAATATATTTGATATACATAAATTATATTAATTAAAAAACATATGAATACATTCATGGCATATAGCGAGACAGTGAATACAATGAGATACATAGAATACAGCGGGATACATTGAAATACAATGAAAAAAAGATAGTGAATACAATGAAATACATGGAATACAACGAGTTACATTGAATTACAATGGAAAAAAGACAATGTACAATAAAATACATGAAAATACAGCGTGATACGTTGAAAAAACATTGAGATATATTAACAAAAAATCAAATTGATCAGCCCCAAACTCCGTCGTCTTTGTTCAAGAACAAACCCTAATTTCCGCCGAATCCGCCATCGAGCAAAAACCCTCAACTCTTTCGCCTTTCTCTCTCTTTCTCTTCACTGAATATCCCTGTAACTCATTAGAACAAATGAAAAGAATGAAAAAACCCTAGCACACAACTAGAAATCAGAGGCGCCGCACGATATAGACATAGTAATTCATGCAATTCACCGACACCACCAAAAACACATATGATTTTTCCTCATTACCACCATCGCCATTTTAACTCATAAATCCAATACAAACACTTTTACTTTTCCTGTACAAACACAAACTGACGTTCTTTAGTCAAAAAAGTCCTCGGATTAGTAAAAGGAAAAAAGGGTTCCGAGCGAACAAAGAGGGGTTTTGGTG